GAAACACAAGAAAAAAAATATTCAACTGGGGGGGGGGGAGGGGAGAGAGCATAAGGAGGAGAGGAGTTAATGCTGGAATGGAGGGGCCATCCTAGGCTTGGGACCCATACAAATCTGATGGAAGAGGCTACCTTATTCCAGGGGGACACAGCTAATCCACAGAGCTGGGATGCTAATATCTACTTCCACTTGGTGGGATAGAAGTTGGAGGGACTAACAGCCAAAGGGCAGTTCTAGTGCCCAGGAGTGGGAGGGGCTAAACACAGGGTTAAGGCTAACAGGGAAAGTTGTACAAGTACAGTACAAGAGACAGTGAGGCAGGCAGTGTTGGGTGGCTTTCATGGGCAGGACTAACACAGCTCACCAGGTGAATTCATAGAAGAGGGAGACATACGGGGTGTGGCTAACCCAAATGAGAGGGAGGGACTAGTCCACATAAGAAGATGGGTCTGACAAAAAATGTTCAGGTGGCAGCAACAGAATGGGCAAGAGAGGCTATCCTGGAGGAGTGGGCAAGCAAGCAGGGCAGACAGCATGAGGGGCTGTGGCTCAGATGGAAAGGAAAAATTATGAAAACCATTGTCTTTGACTACATTAGGGATGTAAAATCCTGGGAAATCAGTTTCACCGATTAATGGATTAAGCAGGATCCTGCTCCTGCTCCTCCCCCCCACCCGCTCCATCTCCTGTGCAGGGCTGCTTCTGCTCGGCTGCCCCCTCCCCCCCACCGCATGGGCAGAGCTGCAGGCTACTGTTGGTGGCTCCCCCACATGGGAGAGCTGGCTCCCAACCTTCTGGGGGGCTGCTCCTGGGTACCGGTTATTTGGTACCTGGTAAGAATCACTCGGTAACCTGTTCACATCCCTGGTCTACACAATGTTTTTCATAGATTCCTACAGTATAATCTAAAAAATTCAAAGGAAGTTCTGAAAGCTTCTAACAGAGAAAATATTTTATTATTTTTAGAGCATGTGTATCTACTGATCCTGATTTTTTTACTGCTTCTCCATCACCATAGATTAAAAATAAACAAATAAAAAGATATAACATCTCTCTCTCTTTCTGTCTCTCTTCCGTCTCTGCTGGGAAGAGTAAACATTGGTTTGAATGAAGGTTTGTTTGTGTGTGTCCCTTTTTACATTTGAATATCCAGCATTATAATTAATAATAACATTTTGAAGGGGATAAGGTTTAAACCAATCTCTTCAAGGTTTAAACCAAACTCTAATCATTTGAGGCCAAAATGAGGCCTAACATGGGGATAGATTATCTCAAATCTACCTATTGCAGGGTTCTTACATGTTCCTTTAAATATTGGGTACAGGACACTTTAATATTCAAAACTCCTGGCCTAGGTGGATGGACCTTAGGTGTAATTCAGGGTAGCAAATCCCAGATTCCTAGATTTAGTTCCCTACATCTCCCTACTCCTGATAAATGGGGGCATCTCCTTCAGTGGTGTCAATAGAAGCATCTCTAATCTATGTTTTTTATGCAAAAAAGGTGTGGTTTTGGTTCAGGTTCAGGAAGCTATCTCAATGTAAAATTGTAGTGGGAGCAAGGCACTGTAGTTTTTAAGTCAATATAACTAGTCAAAGATGACACTATACCCTCAACTAAGGTTTTCCTCAATTAGCTATAAGGATGTAATAACTAAAGTGTCTTGACTGGTTAGTTTCAATATGAAAAACATACTTTTTTTAGCAGTGAAGACATAATCTTACTGTAGAACTGTATCTGGCAGTCCCCAGAATATTAAGCGTGGTTGCTTCATTAGGAAGAAAAAAGTATTTTTAATGCATTTACTAACCCATGTCACACTCCTACAAAAGACAAGGCAGGTGTAATTTTACTTTAGCTGTTGAGGAAGTTCCTATTTTAATTAAAGTGGGTTATTTAATATGGATTAAAATTATACCCTTTTCTCTAGGAAGACATAGCCTGTGTTATCTAGTTTTGCTCTGAACAGAGCTAAATGATTAAAATGGTTAAAATGTCAGCAACCAGACCTCACACTAGACTTCACAAAGAGGATGCCAGTGGAGTGTCAGCAATGGTGGGAAATAAGGCTAATATAGAGAGCCCTTTGGAGGTGTGAGAGAGATTTTGGCAAAATCAGCTAGAAGAAATTCGTATTATGTTTAGTTCTAGATACAGTGAGGTCTGTAACAATTTTATTGCTGTCTTTTGTAGAAAATTAAGAGGGCAGGCCTTATTTGGAGGAGTTTGAAATCTACAAGAGAGCCATTGCTGGTTCCTAGACATGTACATAAAACTTCAGGGCTTTATTTAACACTCAGCTAGCATATTCCTATAG